ATAAACATAGTAAATTTTGTTCAGACAAGTATAAAAGGACATTCAAGAAAAATCTTTCAAGCATAAACATGTGTTAATTTAGGATGACATTTTATACAATGGAAATACAAGTTCCAGGAGAAAAAGGAAAGATTAAAAAATTCACCCTGTTAAAGAGGAGCTTGCGCATGTATTTTATTTTTTGTTTGTTTTTATTTTTATTTTATTTTATTATTATTTGAGACACGGTCTCACTCTGCCACCTAGGCTGGAATGCAATGGTGCGATCTCAGCTTACGGCAGCCTAGACCTCCCATGCTCAAGTGATCCTCCCACTTCAGCCTCCGGAGTTAGCTGGGTCTACAGTAAGCACCACCACGCCTGACTAATTTTGTTCATTTGTTTTGTAGAGATTGAGTCTCACTATGTTGCTCAGGCTGGTCTCAAACTCCTGGACTCAACTGATCCTCCTGCCTTAGCCACCCTAAGTGCTGAGATTACAGGCATGAGCCACCATGCCCAGCCTTGTTCATGTATTTTTTTTAAATGGATGATAATAGGTAGCAGATCACACTGGCATTCAGTTTCTATTGGATGTATGAAAATGAGTAACGTGGCCGTTTGATTTTAAAAGTCAATATTTAAGACACACCAGAAATGACGTCTCTGAAAATATTCAAACTTATGATAAATAATTTTATATGTAACTTAAAAATGTGTGCGGGTAATATTATACAATGTCATTTATATGAAGGTTTAAAACAGGCAAATTTAATCTATAGTGAAAGAAAATTAGAACGGTGTTTGCCTGCAGGAAGGATGTAGGCATAGATTGACTGGGAAGGGCTATATGACAGCCTGAAAGCTTCCTGAGGTGACAGCAATATTCTATACCTGAATAGGATCTGGGGTTAGAAAGGCAAAGCATTTGTCAAAATTATCAAATACTATACTTAAAATGTGTACATTTCATTGATGTAAATTTTAGAAAAATAGTAAATAGATATTTGAACTCTAGGGAATGTTATGTATGCTCAAGAGTTGAGGGGTGAAACATATTGTCTTAAATCTATTTGGAAATAAATAAAAAATAAGATTGATTGAGAAATGGATGGACGAATCGATAAGTAATGCAACCAAAGCAAATGTTTATCGTAGAATCTAGATGGTGAGTATATGGTACTCCCTGCCCAATTATTTCAACTTTCCTGTATGTTTGAATATATCCATAATAAAAATATTAGGGGAAAAATGCAAAAGACACTTTTTTGTAACCATTTTAGGGCATGTATGGGTAAAAGTTTAAAGACGACTGGCTTCCGTTTATCACCATTTGCTGAAGAATCTTTACCCTAAACTTACCATCCAAATCTTTCTCCAGAATCCCAATCATATTTCCACTTCATCTGGATTTCCCATCATATCTAAAACTTGGCAGATCCAAAAATCAATGCATTACCTTCCCTCTACCAGTTAGGAATATCTTCAGCTACATGTAACAGAACACAAAGTCAAATAAAAGAGGGTTACCTTTCCTGTATAATCAGGAACCTGGAGTTAGGTGGCTGCAGGTGTTGGTTCAGCAGTTCCGCAATGTCCTGGGTGGAAGGTCTGCAATTGTCTTGCCCTTTCTTCATAGTCACAAAATGTTCTAGAGCTTCAAATGTCATGTCTGAGTTCAACACAGGAAAAAAAGAAAAAGGAGCAATGCCAGTGACAGTTTAAAGGCTAACTTCCTTATTATGTCATTTCATGTAGTCCCCCTACTTTCTTGCAGTAATATACTCTTGAAAATGTATGGGTCAGGATGACTTTCAGGCACAACACATACATACATATCGATAATGCCAATTCTTGATGTTGGAGGTGGGACCTAGTGGGAGGTATTGGACCGTGGGGGTGGATCCCTCATGATTGGCTGGATGCCATCCTCCCTTTAACGAGTGAGTTCTTATTCCCACTCTCGCTATGTACACACTGGCTCCCTGTGGCTTTCCGCCACAACTAAAAGTTTCCTGAGGCCTTACCAGAAGCAGATGCCAGCACCATGCTTCCTGTACAGCTTGCATAACTGCAAGCCATTTAAATCTCTTTTCTTTAGAAATTACCCAGTCTCAGGTATTTGTTTATAGCAGCAGAAGAATGGACTAACCCACATGCATACACACACCTACACATACATATACACACAAACCTAAACCTCAATTGGCTTCAGAAATGACTAACTCAGTTCTGGGGCCATGTCACCAATGACTCTGGTCCTTTCAACTTCCTGCTTTGCTGTTCTCAATGCTGGATCTGTTCTCAGGCTGGTATGAAGATGGATATAGCAACTCTATGTATACCATCCAGATCCAACAGCTTCAGGAGGAAGACCATCTGGCCCCTCAGTAGACACCATTCCAATCCCATTAGTCAGAATGCTTGTCAATTTGTTTCCTGATCTAACTACAAGGGAAATAGGATTACCTCAGCCTACTCCTGTCAAGGGTCAGCCTCTCCTAAGACATATAACTTTGTGAAAGGGAGACTGGGCCAGTCTATACTAAAGATCTGAAACTGTTATGTTGGACAGGCAGCCACCATGTGTGCTAAAATTGCAGTATGAAAAAACGAACAGATGCATATGTTACAATAGGAGTTCTCTTCCCTCTATATAATCCTTAGACATATTTTGTCCCAGAGATGTAAAATTCAACAATATGTTTAAAGTATAATATCATGTTGTTCATTCAGTTGATTTATTGAATGCCTTCTATGTACCAGACACTACTCTTTAACTTGGTTCTTTTCATTTCTACTAAAATGGAGGTAACAGATATAGAACTATAAGAGTTTGATTGAGGCCGGGCGCGGTGGCTCATGCTTGTAATCCCAGCACTTTGGGAGGCCAAGACGGGTGGATCACGAAGTCAAGAGATCGAGACCATCCTGGTCAACATGGTGAAACCCCGTCTCTACTAAAAATACAAAAAAAATTAGCTGGGCATGGTGGCGCACGCCTCTAGTAGTCCCAGCTACTCGGGAGGCTGAGGCAGGAGAATTGCTTGAACCCAGGAGGCGGAGGTTGCGGTGAGCCGAGATCGCGCCATTGCACTCCAGCCTGGGTAACAAGAGCGAAACTCTGTCTCAAAAAAAAAAAAAAAAAAAAAGAGTTTGATTGAAGCTAATGATTCACTTCTTTCTGCATACCTAATGACTTCCATCTTTGTCTTTATTTCATTGTTGGAGACATGTTTGTTACTAGTCAGCACTTTCATTTTTCTGTCTTCTACTCATTTTTATAAACAAAAGTCACCAGATATTCAAACAAGTGTCCAAAGACACAGAGGTAGGCAAAAATGGCAACATGGTAGAAACTGAATGGTTGATTGATAGATTGTGATACAATCATACTAACCCTTATGCAGTACTTACTCTGCCAGGCTCTGTTTTAGGCACTTCACAATTACTAACTCATTAATCTTCACAACTCTGTGAGGGGAGTACTATTATCTCCATGTTGCACATGGAGACACTAGGGGCCAAGGACAGTTTTGCACGTTGGTTGTTTAGAAGAGTGTGGCACTCCCCGCCTTCTCTTGCTCCCACTCTTGCTTTGTACACACTGGCTCCCTGTGGCTTTCCACAACGTCTGAAAGCTTCCTGAGGCCTCAGCAGAAGCAGATGGTTAGCCGACTGAAAGCTGTGATTTGACCCTCCTGCCTTCCTGACTCACTCTGCCCCACTCCCCCCAGGCTTCACTCCGGCTAACTGCAGTTCTCAGAGCTCCCTCCCAGGCCTTGCTCTCTGCAGCCCTGTGCCTTTGCACATGCCGTCTTCCTGGACTGATCTTCTTTACCGCCTGGACTACCTCTTCTAGAGCAGGTCAGGCCCGTCTCCTTAGCAATGCCTTCTCTGGTTAAGGCAGTCAGGCCAGGCACACCTGTCCAGCACGCAGCCCACCTCTCCTCACCTTATTTGCTTACAGATCTGTCTCCACCGCCAGCGACTGTGGTTCCGGGCCTGGCTGTCTCCTCATTGTTGAGTCCGTGGGGCTTGCTACTATGTCTAGCCTATCATAGGCACTCAAAGTTTTGCTGAATTTATGCATAAGCTCTCCGAATTTTACACTGTCTCGTCTCCCCCATACTGTCTGGCACCACATATTGTAGACACTTAGTCAATGGGAGTGGGAGTCTGATTTTCCTGCCAACAGCCTAACTTAATAAAAACAAAGCAAAACAAAAACCGCCCCCTTTCTCCCATCTCCACATCAGAAGTAAGGTCCCGAAAATTTAGGATTCTTCCAAGCCCTCAGATCAGTGTAACCCTGCAAGACGTGGGAGTCTGACTCCCTCCACTGGCCGGCCGGGTGGGGAGCAGCCCTCAGGACGCAGGGTGCCCCCGCCCCCCGCCCCGCGCCCTCTCCCAGTTCTCGCCTATTAAGGTAACAGTCCCCCGAGGAGGGGGGAGGGGCCGGAGGGAGGGCCCCCAGAAGCGGCCTGTGCGCTTGCTCGGCGCCGCGGAGTCGCAGCCCTGGACTCGCAGGCGGGCGCCCCGAGACGGGTCCTTCCAGCTTCGGATCAACCTCGGGCCCCACTTGGCTCTTCTACCCGAGGTCACCTTCCTAGGTTTGCATAGCCACGGGGCCGCATGCTTGTCCCTCAAGCATCGCCCGGGCCTGAAACCAGCCTCCGCGCGGGGCGCTGATTGAATGGGTCCCCCGTCCCCGGTGGGCGCTCCCGCCCCGCAGGTGCTCGAATAGCCACCGGCAGCGGTGCGCCCACGGGAGGGAAGGCAGGTGGTCCCCGGGTCTGGGGAGAGAGGACGTGCTCCACCGGGCCCCGGGATCGCCACCCCGCCGCCGGATCGCCACCCCGCAGCGCCCCCACTGGCCGCCAGCCTCGCGACTTGGGATCCTCGCGCCCCTACGCTCCCCTTCCCTTCCCTTCCCTTCCCTCCC